ATGACGTACTGTGCTAGCTGTGTCAGGGTTCACCTTTCGTAATGACGTACTGTGCCTGTCGTCAGACACCCTAACTACATCGAGCTTTGAGAGAGCTGGGTGGTCAGCCATTCGAACAGCACCGAAAAATGACGTCGAAGAGTAAATGGTCTGATCCAGCTTTGACGACTGGGAGGCCCGAATCAAGCTGGGCTTTGAGTGAAGTCTCAGTAGGATGCTGAGGCTTCACTCAAACTAGCTTTAAGGAAGGCCTGTCTAACAGGCCTTTCTCAATGACCGTTGCAAAAAGGTGCCAACTCCCTACTTTGGAGTAGCAGAAGGAGGAATTTGTGAAGCAGTCTTTCCTCATAATGGGCTTTAGTAACTTTTCGTCGTTCCGAGTGTTGCCTCGGGTCTAGGGACATGACAGTTCCTGCATCTCCTTTCGCGAGTTTTCATAAAACGCAACAAAAATCGGGTGTAAAAAAAAAAAAAAAAAAAAAAAAAAAAAAACACATTTAAGGTCGATCTAAACCTACCACGTAAAATGCCCAAAATATCACCAAGAAATCGGGGGACCGGTGGCCTAGTGGTCTAGCACACACCAGCTCGGAGCACGTGGAGCGAAAGCTCGCGCTCCAGAACCCAGGCATCCTGGGCTCAAGCCCCACCCCTGCCCGTTTCGATCTGGATCAGCATCGTACCGGCGTGCGGTCGTGTATCACTACTGCGTGGTGCACGTTAAAGACCCCAGGCGAGCGGTTGTACCGCACTGGCTAAATTGCTCATCTACGGCTGAGACACCAGACGCCCGCTGAGACAGAGTAACTTAGGGCTGTATACACACAATTTGCTTTGCACCAATAATGCAAGAACGCACGAGAGAGGTTTGGTCACTTCGTTCACCTCGGTTACGTTTTCTGACTTGTATGAACAGCGGCACACCCTCGTGCTGATAGCTGGAAATTGGCGATTGTTTAGGCATTATCATTATAAAGGAGGCTAGGGAAAAAGAGTCATTGAACTCAATTGTAAACACGACACGTTGAAAACGCCCACAAGCTTTTTTTGTGTGTGTGTGTGTGTGTTTAAAAGATTTCGGCGCAAAATGTCACGTTGCCAATATTATCATCGTAACCTCCTCGGAAATTCAAATTCATGCCTCATACAACTATGGCGGACATCGTAAAACAAAGATCGCAGTTAGGTTTCGAAGGTGCCTCAGGGAACCGTTTAACCGGCCATCAATCGTTTCTTGCGCTTTTGGTTGGGGACGTGAATTTGACTTTGAGGGCACGAATCAGGGCAGATTTAAATCGTCTTAATAAATCTTGCCTTTCCGTAAATTGATTTTCGTCCCTTCCTTATGTTGTTCGTTTTATCTCGTTCTTGCTAGTTTTAATCGACAACCTTTACTTGATTTATTATAGGTAAGCTCCTAAATTCATTAGGATTCAGCTGAAAAACAAATACAGAAATAATCATTGGGGTTGTGTGGATATTTAGACAGCGTGTAGTTGGTCAGCCAACTACACGCTGTCTACATATCCACCTAGACCTTATTTAATATTGGCGCCATCTCTCGGCATCTCGTGCAATAGCAAGCGTCCGCATCATCTTTGAGGCTTGTCCACCGTCCACGCAATGCCTGCCTAGCTCTCTGCGCTCTAATTCTCCTTATAATATTGCTTTTTTTACGTGGTGGTGGCATTAGGTATTTCAAGATGGATTATATTAGCAAGCCCAGTTCAGGCACTAGACTCGTTCGATTTGCCTGCACCAGTGCAGAAAATGGTAGGTATAGTGTGTGTGCATTGAGTTTCGACCGGAAGTCCATCACCTTAAACTTTTCTGCACAGGTGCAGTAGGTGCAGGCGAGTGAAACGAGCCTAGATGTGTTCGTTCAGCTCGCAATAGATCTCTCGCTAAGTTAGCCAAGCATCAAAGAAAAGACTGGGCGTGTAGGTCTAGGCGCCGCCATGGCTCTCGCCCTCCCCGTATAAAAAGATTCGAAGTAAATAAACAAAATAAAGTGTTGATGAACACGTGAGAAAGGCCTCTTGTTTTGGGCTTTTGCTTTAGAACACTTCCTGCTGCAGACGCCAGTACGGGCTGCGCGAGGCCTACATTCTCTGCATTCCCCTTGATACTTTAGTAATTTAGCAGAAGGTCTATTCTGAGCTCCTGCTAAATTCTCCACACCAACAATCTAGTCACCGGAAAAAACTGTTTGCCTCACAATGTAACGATAAATGCAAGAAGCAGCATCGTGAATCTGGCATGAGCCACTGCTTTCCCGGTGTCTGTCGTTTTGGTTGCTGTGCAAGCAACCGACGCAAATGTGTGGAGCATGCCTAAACTAAAACGTGAAACACACGTGAGCAAAAATCCGGTCGCGTCGCACCGCCACGCGGCGTAACTATAAAAACCACCAATGACAGCAACGGTTGTCGTGGTTACGTCGCTCAGCGGCACGAAGCGATGCTATTTTTGCACGCATGTTTTTCACGCTTTAGGGAAGCCCGAACCATTGACAACTTTGTGTGGAACGGGGGCGTGTGCACAAACGCAGATAAAAGCTGGACAAGCGCACTCCTCCTCTATACTCGTTTTCACCTCAAGGGCCGTGGTAAACAAATTTCGACCCCCCGTGGAGCATTACTAATTTCCTTCTTTATGTAGATAATTAAAAGTCACGTAGATGCATTTTAGATTAGATATGTTTTATGTTATCAAGACGTACACGTTTCAAACACCAACAGCATCGCTTCTTCCCCTGAAAATCAAATCTTGTAATAACTACTTCGCGCGGCGTATGAATTCTCGAAAATGCTTAGCAAGTTTTTAATTCTAACTATATTTTTACTTTCACTAATTAAAAGGTTTCTTAAGAAATTTTAGTTAATTATTTAAGTAATTAGTATTTTTTGTGTGTACGTGTGCTATTTTCAACGTGCCCCGAGGCTCGAAATGTGTTCCCCGAAACCAGCCTATTATTGTTTTCAGTCCTTTTACTTCGATGAGTCGCCTATTTACCAGGGATGGCAGTATGGCACTACTCTAATAAAATTACTCGAATTATATTACTTTTTGCTGCAATGAGTAATGTAATGAATTAGTTTTGCTGCAATGTGTCATGTAATGAATTAGTTTTCTACGCCGGTACTTTAGTACTGTAATAAATTACTCTGAGGCAGTAATTTTCAGTGCGTTACTCATTACTTTCGTAATTTCTTTTTTCCGAGGCCCCTTCTGAAAATTAATCTGTGACGAAGGAGTCGAGTGCGAGTCAAACACACAAAGACAGGGTCTAAAAGGCGAAGCGGGTGAAGAAACGATTTCGAGTGAAGACAAAGCTGAAAGTCCACGGTTCGCAAAACTTCAGCGAAGGCGGAGACGAAAAGTAATCGGGGGCCGTTCCTCGCTACGATGTGGAGGTCACGTAACAAAGAAGACATTTTAACACATTTTAAAGCACGTGCGAGGAGTTGGGTGTTAATCTTTAATCTCTTGCCAAGGATCCAGAACTCCTCGTGTGTTGTCTTGTAAAGACGCTTTTGTACGTTCCGTTCATTTCTAAGCTGACAGAATGATGGAAGCTGCGCACTCGTTGAAGCAACCGTGCGTCGACCTTTCGTCAGTTGCTCACGCCCCCGCTAATACCCACGCGCAGAGAGCGAAGTCAGCTGATGAAAGAGTTCACCGGTCCGACGTGCGCGTAGCTACCACCGTACTATCAACTTAAGTCTGAACGGAATATTGTCGGAAACGGCAAAAAGCGACCATAGCAAGATCACCTCGGAAGGGGATAAGCATACGCGCAGATAGAGCCGCTGGTTAATTGCTTAAGGACACACTTTCTGAGGGCGCCCGCCAACCCTTTCGTTCTCTGGTGGCGTTTTTCCCCAGAAAACATCTGGCCCCCTTACGTGACAAAACGCCGCGATAATGCGCGCTCTTCTCCGTTTATGGAACAATACACCTCGAGAACAATGTCTGGCAATGCGTCGACCGGTGCTCTTGGGAGAAAACGGTTCGACTGCGTCCGAGTCAGAAGAAAGAAATTTTAGGCATTTTCTCAAGCTTGTACAGTATGGATTCGGGAACGATGAATTCCGTTCGCCAAAGGCCACATAAAGGGCAGTTTAGCGCATCTCACAACAGTAGTTACGACTTCATGTAAAAACGAGCTGCCAAATAATAGTTAACCGAAATGACCGACTTCTCCAAAATCAGGAGGACGCAATCACATCAGCCATTAACCGATCTACTTCACCATTGAATGAACAGCGAAACCAATGAGCTGTCTGTTTTAGTCATATCTTAGGAAGCTCCACAACACTTCAGTCGTCACGAGCACGAATCCTGAAGAAATTTAAAAGTAAGTTCGAAGTAATATCATTACTTTTTAAGAGTAATTGTAATGTAATGTCGTTAATTTTAGTCTGCGGAAGTTTGTACTGTAATTTTGTTGCATTTGCGAATTTCTAAGGAAAATAGTTTATAATTTTGCTTAATTTCTTCTGAAAAGTAATTTTGCCATCCCTGCTATTTACCCGTTGGTTCAAAGCCAAACACAAATTTTGAGGTGGAAGGAAAGATTGAAGCTAGTCAGTAGAGGTGTCGACTTTAACATAGTGACGTAATGAGGTCCCATCAACGTCCGACAGATGGCGCGGAAATCTTGGTAAGTTTTGGCTAGGGGGCGCAAGCCGTCGACCGATCAAAACGGTTCAGCCACATTCATCCATCCATCCTCCCGGTTTATTAAAGGTGCCTTTCATAATGTTTATATCAGATGCATACATAGTTATTTCTAGTCCTGTCTTGGGGATTCATTTCACGTACCTTACATAAGGAAAAATTCGCGTCGCCTGCTGTCCTCACCCACATGTTACTACGCCATCGAGTTCAAAAATTAAAACAAAGGCGAGCTGGTACAAGGACTCCACCGAACAACGCTATAACTCTGTAAAGGCTACACCCGTGTGACTATTCTTTGTTTCTTCTTGCAGCTCAAAGGCTCCCCCTGGCATGTCCTCCTGACGTCAAGCAGCCTCTTCGGAGCAAGCGGCTCCGCTAGCCTTTGAACGATGACGATGGAACCGATCCCGATGGGTAGCCCTTTCCCCATCTACGCCACCGCACGGCACGTCCCCGTGTTCGGAATCGAATCGCCGAGTCGGAAGGACTTCTACGAGAGCCACCTCCGCGACAAGTTTGTCCAGCCGCCCGAGGTCATCGGCGGCCACCGGGACGATGTCTTCGACAGCGGGGACGGCTTCCTGGAAGACGACCCGCGCCTGCTGTCCCTGAAGAGGAGGCTCCAGGGCCTGGACGGGGACGAGTTCTACTCGGAGGGCTCGCTGGGGTCTCCGTCCAGTCAGGCGGGCTCCTGGACCAAGCGGAAAGGAAGCGAGAACGGCGACGCCACGACGCCCGGCGCACCGCCCGTGGTTGTCAAGAAGCGGCGGCTTGCGGCCAACGCTCGCGAGAGGCGGAGGATGCACGGCCTGAACGTGGCATTCGACAAGCTCAGGCAGGTGGTGCCGTCCATCGGAGACGACCGCAAGCTGTCCAAGTACGAGACGCTCCAGATGGCCCAGAGCTACATCACAGCTTTGAGTGAACTGCTCATCAGAGACTGAGCGCCTTGCCAAACACCGGTCCGAAGAGAGCTGTGTACATTGAAGGACGAAAGGCACGTTCGCGTGTGCTGAACTTACCTCGAGGAACGAAGCTGTTATGCGAACGAGAGGCGTTCCCATTTACAGTGGCATCGTGAAAAACCATGCGGCTACATGGGACAGTTGCCGTTTCGAGACTGCCAAATGCGACGAAGCTGCCTCGAGTGACCGATGTGCCCAGCTGAAAGAAAAACTGCTGTTCTCGGGAAACTCACTTCAGTCATGACTCCAAAGCGCCATAATGGCAGCTGGCCTGCCAATTCTTCCAAAAGCCATCAAGAATGAGAAAGAGTCGCTCGGTTTGTTCGAACAGTATTCAGTCATTTTGTTTTTGTCTTCTTTCTTGAATTTCGCGGAAGTTTATAGCTCCCCCCAAAGGCATAGCCTTCGCTCGACTTGGTCTTGAGTTACCCAGGCATCACAACCGAACCACCGAGTCTGTCCCAGATGCATTTATCCATCGACGAGAGCTAAGCAGATATTGCGAATAAAAAGAATAATTCAGGGGCGGTACCGTGCAGCGCCGTATATCACCTAAATAATCAAATCGAAGTAGATTTCACTCGTCATGTTTAGTCTGGTATACGCATATTTACATTTAACCGTGACATTAAGTTCAAAAATTAATCTTGATACACGAAGTACACTGCCTCTTTGCGCTTAAGGAATTCTGACGCGCGTATTAAATTATGCTGTTCTTTTCCGTCATTTAATGAAACTAGCAAACTAATGTATTGTCAAAGTCAATAAATTAATGCAGAGTAGGCCCTCCAAGTAAGTAATGGCACTTTTGCGTGGCAAAGAGACAATTCCATTCCAGTGCTTCGCATAATTTCATAGATATAATGTAGTCGTCCAGCCAATCTTTTGTAAATACACTGGCGATGTGCATGAGAGCACGCCAAGAGTGAGAATGTGAGTTTATTTTCTTTTCTACATGTGAATACATTTGTACAAAGTCTCCGTCACCCTTTTTGGTGGGATGACGACGAATATATATCTATTTTTATAAAGCGCCGCGCCTGTGTGTGTGTCTTTTTCCTTTGTACGCGGTTGTGGCCAAAATGATTGAACCTAGGGAGTACTTGAGAACGAACGGCTAGACATGAGAGTTACGTCAGGGTTTAGCAGGCCAGTCAGAAGATCGAATTGTTGCAAGATATCGGCACTAGATGGCCTGCCTATAAAGCCAAATACCGAAGCATGGCCCCCTAGGTGCAGACGTTTCGGAAGCAACTGCTCATTATACGTTATACTTCTAGGTAATCGAAAACTCGTAGAATCTCGTTATGTCCCTCTCTACGCACATTAATTCGTCAACAGCCTCCGACTGAGTTCCGATATTGTACACCGTGAAAAAAGCACGGGAGTTGACTTTCCAGCAGAACATTAAGACAGCCAATCACGAAGAACAACAGAAGGATCCCCCCAGTGAATGACGAAATTAAAAAACAACTCAATCTAAAAAAAAGAAAACTAAAAAAAAAAAAAAACGGCGATGTGCGCAGGGACGAGTATTACAACGTTTCGCTTGGCCATTGTCCCTGCCAATATAAAATTCTTCAAATGTAATCGTATTCTGAGCTTTCACTCTCGATGGAATCATTCTGCTGTTTACCTTGCTTGGCGGAGTTCGTTTTCTGTAGAAAAGTTAACTCGACAACGCTTTTTCAAAGGTTACTCTTTAAAGATTGCTTGAGTATATCCTTTTTTCAAGGAAAGCAAAACATGGAAACAATCACTGCTTTCGACGAAGCGCGACGAACAGAGAGCTGGATCGAAGTGGAAGTCTTAACATATATCGTTCAACGTTGAAAATATAGTCGTTCGTTAGCAATCACAGTGAACCTCGACGTCGTGGGAAATCTGATATGTGATCCGGACCTTACAGTCACTCTCTGTGCAATAACTGCAGCCGTGAGAAGACACGTAAAATTGTAACTGCACCTCCAAGTTGATTACATTTAATCCCCCACAAATAGTTAAGTTTGCATTAAAAGTAACTCTTTCTAGCTGTGTTTCTGAGCACATTACGAGTTGTGAGAAGTGCTACCCGGGCGCCTATAGTTTGAGAACTTAACTTTGCATCATGCTTGTATGCTCGAAGACTCGAGCAACAAAGAGTATTCGAAAGCCTCGGAATCGCGCCCGTTCTTCCAGCGGTGCACCAAACTTTCCATATGGAGTAGAGCACCCAGCCATAATTTAATTCACTTTTTCCCGTTTCTAAGTCACATGTACGCTGTGTAGACTTTGTGCACATAGACATACAGCTCTAAAGTTTCGACCAGCGCAAAATCGGATATTATTAGGTCGAATGGCGATTTTTCAAACGGCGAGTGCTTATGAACAGACGATAGTTGACGCCCGTGGATCCTGCACGATGGGACGCTAGGACGCCACTTCGCGTCAGCATTAAGTGGTCGCGTCTCGCGGACGCTACCGGAGGCAGCTCTTTTGTGGTCGCGTCTCGTGGACTCTACAGCGCCCCTGGCCGAGAGAAACAGGCCCTGGGCCATCGGCTTCCAGGTATGGTTTTGCAATTTGTTTCGCTCTCCTTGTTGCAGAATGAACACACGGAACGGAATGCGCCGACGAACCCAGGAAGAGAAGGAGACGTCAGAACACCGAGCTCTTGGCTGACTCGCTAGAAGCAGCGTCTGAGCACAGACAGGGTCAAAGAAAGCACCGCCGAGGGCAGCGCACGAGCTGAGCGGGACTCAAGACCCGCAACAGCCCTTGCACCGCTTTTTCCCACCCAGTCTCAGCTGAGACGCTGTTTTAGCAAGCCTGCCCCGTTAGTGGATAGACCTAAAGCTGCCTTTGTCTCCACTGCACTCGTCGAACGCGTTCAAATGCGAGACCCAAACGCCGGACGCCGGCGTTCCGCGTTCGAACGCGTTTGACGAGCGCGGTGGAGGCAAAAGCAGCTAGCTCTAGGTCTATTCGACGTCCACGCGTGCCCTCGTCTCCTCATCTCCTTCAGTTTCTCTGCGCATATATACACAAGGAGCTCTAAGTACAGGCTGTACGAAAGAAAGGAAAATCCACGAAACAAAAGAGAAGTCAAATTTTCTTCTTTATTTTTTTTTATTGCAAAAATATATTACGGATCACCGAAAGCTCATTCTTCGGCCAAATGTAGCCCCAACGGTCCGAACCAGATTCCTTAGTTTCAGAACTAGCCGTTATCTTATTTAGAAGTTAAAACCGATTTTCTGAAAAGTTTAATGAGGAAATGGCGGCTGATGCATATCTTATAACGCATGGAGCTCAACGGCGCCGGTTACCGAAAACGGGCAAGAAGGGGCCCCGTTTTCCCATTGATATTTTCACAAAATATCTTATAATCCTTCTGCTGAGATAACGGTTAGTTCTGAAGCTTTGGCATCTTGTTCAGACCACTGAAAATAAGCAATCGGTATTGCGTAGCATTTTTTTTTTTTTGTAAAAAAAAAAAAAAGTTTTTTTTTGAAGCACACTTAATACTTGAGTGCATACTGCACCTAATTCCGGTTCGAACAGCAATCGGTGGCATATCTCCCTAGTCTGTACATCCAATGATATGGGGCCATCGTTGTCATGCTCCGATGGCCACGCGGTGCTGTCTCAGTATCAAAACCGGTGGACGGCATTTTGCGGCTAAAACCGCTTCTCCTTCTCATTGGCTAGGCTACTTAGACAACGACCACCGATCAGGAGTCCACGTGCATTGCGAGAAAGAATAGCTGTAGCTCGTGCAGTCAGAATAGTTTGCTCGCACAACACGATTGAATTGCCGCGTTCGGTTGCACCGCCGAGTCCGACCAATCAAGGAGCGCCGACCTTCCGTCGTCATGGCGTTGTCTGTCTGAGTTTGCTGCCAGCAGCTAAACGCGCCGCTTGAAAGAACGGAATCATGGTGCATTCTTTGTGTCTTTTTGGTTTAGTCGGCGATATCAAATGCACCACGCCGAAGATGCAGCTTTGTCGCTGCCCGATTGTCTCCATCGGAGTGTGGCCTCGGCTGGGTTCGGAAGTGAAACGGAGCGATGCCCTCGGGGTGTGAGCGAAGGAGCTTCGGTCCGAGGGGCCATATGGACAGCGTGGAGGCGGAAGGGCGAGCCTGGAAGGGGGCGACAGCGGAGCCCACTTTGCCCCCCGCTTCTTCGCCTCCTTGTTCACGCAAGTTGGCCCGGTAATGGCTTCACGGGCGGCCGCCCGTCTGTGGCCCAATCCGGCAAGCCGAGGCGCGTGGCTGGCACGGGCCCTGGCGCTGCCCCGCGTTACGCCGCCACCGACGAGAAAGAGGCGCCACAGCCTTCCTCGCGGCAATAAGAGCCCTCGAAGAGCACGCTTCGATTGGCCACGAAGCCATTGGGAATGGATCAGGCGGAAGTGGAGATCAGCCTCCAACGAGGGGCTCTTGCTGCGACACCGTGCGCTTTGCCGCAAGTGGCACTCGATTCTCGTCGGGACGCGGCGCACACGTTCGTGTTCACCCAAGGGAAATCAACATTTCAGAAACGCAGGAGGAGGATGGAGAGTGCGGGATCGGATAATTGCTTCCGCACACGTCCGATGACCTGCCAATGTCAGGGAACCGTCAACGTCCGAGTACCTCTCTTTATTCTTGCCTGGCACACTTATTAAATGGTTCTTTTTATAAGCTTTTTACATTTTTAATATAATATCCTCGAAAGTGTCGCGCAAGACTTACGTTGGCGAGATGTCACTTATTCCTAACGGTAATAAAAATGCTCGCTGCTCGCTCACTTCATTCTTATGTTTTAAACGTCACTTCGAAGAAGCGATTTAACTAAAATAAAACGAGCAAAATTGACAAACGAACGCAATACCGTCGTGCACCAATGTAATGGCGAACGCGAGCTCAGGTCAGCAGTGGCACTGCATTCACCGCACTGTCCCTCGATAAGATAAACGCTCGTTTCAGGACAGAAAGCCTCAAGAGAGTTTTGGCGATTCCAGTGAAATTGACGCGCATAGCGGCGAGAACAGAGAGCTCGGCCGGTTCGCTCGTCAACTTCCTCGAGCGAATCAGATTTTCACAGAGCCTGCCGGTCTAAAGACGAAGTTGCGAATGTAGGTTCGTGAAATCCCGATGAAAATCGTCCAGAGACATTCACAGAACCCCCGACTAATAATCGGTTCGCAAACACAGAAGTTCCCACGTACTCGTTGAGCGGCGTCAACGAGCGGCCATTTGTGGGAAATTTTCTCAGTCCAGCGACGACCGCCGTCCTGACACGAGAAAGAGCGCTAAGGTTCTTATTTATTCCAAAACGACGAGTGAACATATGAGCAACAGTAGGGTGCGAG